TTATCATATTGTGGCCAAGGGAACAATTATTTGAAAAGCTCTGTTTCTGTGACTACTACGAACGATACATTCCGCATCATTACTCTTCAGTTTATATCCATATGAAACTGTTCCTAGATGGAGAAGAATTTTAAGTTAGAAATTGGATTTTCAATTTCCCTTGAGCCCTCCATATTCGAAAAGAGATCGTTACATATAGTCAGAGAATCAACGGAGCAAACTTAAACGCATTTTGCTCCGAAACATCCTTTTGTATTCACATTTCAGATTGAGATGCGAATATATATACCTAGAAATGTAAAAATGCGATTCACCCAGTACCATCATTAAAATCTCAATAAAAAAGATTACAACTTGTAGTTATGCAAGAAGAAAACTTTTACTAAATACCAAAACAGCGATTTAGTGGTTTTATCTTGTCCACACACCGAATATCTAAAGAATTCGTTAAGAACTCGGCAATTAATTTAATTACAGTGCGCATTTTGAGATCTCGCCAAATCGAGAAAGTATTCTGGTATTTTTGAAACACAGGAAGGCATACCGTTTAGGCTTACTCATTTCCGTAGGCCGTAAACATAAAATTCCAAATTTATATAACGGCTAACGACGAGAGTTGTTAATTAAAATGCAACTCGATCAATGATAAAAGAAAGTGATGGAAAGGTTTTATTTTTTTCATTCTTTCTTTTTTTTTTTTTTAAACGCACGATTGATTTTCTACAAATAGTCTGGACGACCATTGACACAAGTTACCTTATTTAAAACGCGGAACCGTTCGCGATTTGTCACTTTAGCACGTTCCTTTAACACCGTTTTCAATTGAAACCCTGACATATCAAAAAAGAAAATGTTCTTATAAACGCAATAAGGACACAACCAACTGAACTAAATTAAGATAAAATTGAATTATACAACAAATTAAGTCCTCTTTGGTTCGGTTCATGTTCAATCGATCCAATATTAATGAATCAATTAGTTTCAATGACTTAATGGATATAAGAACGTTGAACTATTTAAGTTTAAAATTTTTTCATTAAATGAAGTGATTTATATTATTTTTTTTGCATGTAAAAGTTTTGAGGGTCACAATTAATTAACATCGTCGATTTGTAACAGGATATAGGTACCCATTTATCACACTATTAATCCATAACAAGATTAATACCGTTTATTTATAGCATAATGTATTGGTTATGTCAAATTAGTACATTACTCGTATGTTAATACAGATTGGGTTAGTTTATTTCTTTGCAATCGTGTTAAGGAGATCATTATTTCTTATTTTACTCAACGTTTCTTATACTTTTTGTGTTATTCTAGATACAACAAAAATTCTGTTAAGTAATCTCAAACTTAAAGTTAAATTTTTTTGTTAACTACCGTTTTAAGAGTCCAACTTTTTTACTCCAAATTAATCATTTTTATAACTAGATATCTTTTGAAAACCTTACCGGCGAATTCACGTTTCGAGCGCCATCTTTTAATATACCCTTGAATTAGAGTTAACTTTTGTTGGTAGATGGCTCTAATTGAAAATATGTTAAATTAGTTTTAATAAAATGTAGTAAAATGACCTTATGATGGTGTTCTTAAGGATACTGGACCTATATCCATAAAAACGTATAATAGTACTATTGTTATGTCATTTTACAATAACTACCTTATTTTTGCAAGAACAGAAATCGCAGCACCACGAACTTCTTTTTATTTTAGAATTTTTTTTATTATTAATTACCAGAACATGATTGCATTTCTTACTTGTAGAATTTAGTGGTCTTAAATCTTTAAAAGTGTTTGCTCCAAAATGGCTATCTTAATGTACATTCCATATTACAGTATGTTAGATGTCTTTAGGAATAACCAACAGATCTGTTCCTTGGACGAATTTGTGAAGAATTTATTTCTTCAGAAAATAGTCGCTTACTGTTAATGTAGTTGGTAATGTGAGTAACTCGTTAATTGTCTGCCATTGTAGTTCATCTTCTTATGCTCTCCTGAAAAAAGTGATATATGTGACACCAACAAAACAAAGCTTTGCACTCTATATGAATTGAAAACCCATAACACAAACACACTTTCCAAAGTACAAGATGCGGCAAAACTCCCTCCCAAATTTGAAAGTTGTATAAAAAACAGATGGTACAAATTAACGAAACTGTATTAACATGAATGGAATTTGCAGAATGAGAAGTTACGTTATTATGTTTTACAAGTTTTTTTGAACAGTATATCGCTCAAGTGTTTTCCTTCGTTATTACTCTAATCAACATTTCTTGAGGAATGCGAGCAATCTCTTCTTGAATCGTTTGTCGTAGGGCTGCCAGAGTCCTGGGATGATGTTTGTAAACTTCAGCCTTAAGAAACCCCCACACAAAAAAAATCACAGGGAGCAAGGTCTGGAGATCGTACTGGCCAGTGGATGTCTCCGCGCAAAGACATCAAGCATTCTGGGAACAGCTGCCTCAGTTCTTGAAGAGATCTCCTGCTTGTGTCAGCAGTGACCCCGTCCTGCCGAAGCCACACATCCTTTTGAATCTGAAAAGATAAAAACGCAACTTCTCATTCTGTAGATTCCATTCGTGTTAATACAGTTTCGTTAATTAGTACCATCTGAAAGCACCTCGTCAAGCAGACCTGTGGTTAATTCTGAATCGTGATTCACCTTCTCCAAAGAAAAAGTAAAACAAAGTATCCGTAATTTGAAAAACAGAAAATCACCAAGTATCGATGAAGCAACAAACAAGCTAATTAAATATGGTGGAGATACACTGGTAGATGAAATAGACACCGCGTTTAACTTAATTATCATAAGTAAAAGATACCATCTTATTGGAAGTGTAGCATACTGATATCAATTTTCAAGAAGGATGAAAAGACAAACCCAAGCTAGTTGTTTGAGTTTTATCAAAAATTGATTACCAGAATGCTATCAGAAGAAATAACAGCAATGAGATTTGCGAACAACTACAGGGATTCAGAAAAAACAATCCAACTGTAAGTGAAATCTTCGGTATCCGACAAATAACTAAGACAGTTCTTTTGTATTTCGTCGATCTTTTAAACAAGCTTTAAACAAACAAACTAATAGGGTGAGACTAAATGAGGTAGTGATCTATCTAGAGAAACGACAGATACACCCGAATATTATGGCATTATGCATTATGGAATTTGTGAGATACGGGCAGAAAACACCACAACCAACAGAGTTTTGCAAAAAATCGCCAATGTGGAAAAACTCGCATGGGACCAGATTTCTTGAACATTTTCAGTCAATTCTAACGTATTTCTACATACACTAAAGTGAGGTTTCTAAATGTATTTATCGAAAATTTTATTTTTTAATTTAATTTTTTATTTAATAATCCCGAAATTGTTGCAATATCACTCTTGTGCTCTTTGTTTTCATTCAAATCTTTACTCCTCTACTATAATTCTTTGATTATACACATATTTATACCAGTTTAATTAAGATTCCTCTAATAACTTCCTTCCGTGATTTACTTGTTCTACTAAAATTTGAAATCTTTATTGTATCCATAGCTATCTTGGCCTTTTGATCTATAATCAGCCAGAAATAGTAATAAAGTCAGAAAGATTGAGATGGGCCCGCAACATTAGGAGAACAAACGTGTCATCCAATTGATGAGAAGAGTCCCCAGAGGGAAGGCAGCCGCTGGGATGACCGAGAATACGATAGAGAGATAACATTTCAGTGGATCTACGGACCCTAGATAATGATAACTAAGGTTGGACCGCAGCAAATGGAAGCAAATGGCAAAGGCGGCGAAGACCCACCTTGGGTTGTAATGCTACCGAGAGGAAGAGATCTATTTCTTTCCAACTATCAGCAACTCTACAAGGAATTGAGGTCAGTATGTAAAGGCAATCATCACTTCATTCTTTTCGTTCAATGTTCTATTTTCTTTTTCAGAACATAGAGAAAAGAGTTGATAATCTTATTTTTTGCATTGCTAGTTTGTAGTGCGCATCAGAAATCCAGTTTTACGTGAGTCCTTACAAAGTTCTCAAGAATTCTACCGTTTAGCCTCGTTATGCTCAATCATTCCCAACCTATCTATATCAATCCACCGTACATTCTGTCTCTACTTGCTACATTATCCTTTACCAACGTTTTCTTAATCGAAGGTAAACTTCCATGATCTATTTAGCCGTCCTGTCCTAATCATTTAAGAATGTCTCGTGTGAATATGTCTTTGTGCCGACGGAACTGTATTTTCAACTGCAAGTCTATCATATGATTTGACTCTTAAAATTGAATCATGTCAAAATGTGAGCCGTGCTCTTTGAGGAGGCCAAACTTTTCTGTACAGCTGTATTCTGTCCAATGCCTCTTATGAGACAATGGATCTTCTATGCATACGGAAATTCAATAACACCACATCTTGTTGGGGTTCTTATCGCCACAATTCAAGCATATTTTATTTTGGTTACAATAACAGAACATTCAGAACCATTCACATCGTTTAGAAGAGCCGTTGAAACGTCATTCCGTTTTTGAAAAGATTCTGCCGAGGTAAATAAGACTCATTACTTATTATTATATTTGATAATAGAACAATTAAGCCACGTAATCCAAAGCACGTGGCGATAATTTAAGCTATTAAACGTCATGTTTGCTTCACTGGTTCCGAGAGAGTTTCACTTATTTCTTTGAATCTGATAAACTTCATTAAAATGAATTGAATTCCCTCAAACTTAAATGATCCCAAAGTGTTTTTAAATTAACGCTTGAAAGTAAATTGATTTCATTATCCTAAACTTAAAACGGCTTTGTTTTGTACTAGTGTTAACTTTTGACCTATTCAAAGACCATTTTAGACGTTTAAAGTTGTATTTATAACTTATTTTGAACGATTGCCAAAAATAGTAAACTAATGAAATAAAATATCTTTCATTGTCGATAATAAAATAAATTTATTTATTTATAGTTTTAATAGCAAACAATCTTATTATGATAAATAATTATCCTTTTTTTGATATATAGTAAAAACAAAAATATAAAAACTGTTTTTAATGTTACTTTTTATCCAATCATCATAGCTTTGAATTCTGAAACGTAAATATGTAATTTTATTATTTATTATTGATATTTTTTTATGTAAACAAACCTTCCCAATCTACAGTTCCAGATCCATCAATATCAATTTCTTCAATCATTTGATCTAAATCTGACGGCGTTACTTTTTCGTCTAATTCTTTCAAGATTTCTCTTAATAGATCAGTTGTGATAAATCCTAAACCTTCTTTATCGTATAATCTAAAAGCGTCTTTTAACTCTCTTAGAATAGCTTCTGTGTCCTCTTCTTCTTCAACTAAGAATCTAGCAGCTAAATGAGCAAATTCTTCGAAACTCATTTCTCCATTACCATCTTCATCAATTTCAGAGACAATCGCCTGAAAGTTAATAAGAAAATAATTATTATAATTTGTTTTTTATGTGATTTTTTTTAATTTTTACTTGTAATTCTTCTGCAGTTAGTTGATGACCTAACATATCCAAGATTTGGCCGATCATATCAACGGGAATATTTCCTTTCTTATCAACGTCGAAGCCATCAAAAGTAGTTTTTAACACTATAATTTATTATCTGTCATATTAGTATCAAATTTTTTGATATGCGATTTTTTTTGTACTTACTTCTCATTTGATCTTTCGAGATATCTAAAGTTTTGCCTAAAACTAAGAGTTTTTCTTCAATTTCATCAGCCTTAAATCAGATAAAAATAGTTAAATTAAATGGATTATTTTGGACTTTTAGAACTAAAATTTCTTTACCATTTTGATTGCGTGTGACTCTGAGGGCGACGGTGTGGTACTGCAATAACGTCTCAGGAACCTTTTTTTAATCACTTTAATTATCCATCGTATTTATAGACCGATCAATCAGCTCAACCTTTTAATCTAACGATGGTGGGGCATTGGACACGGTTAATTTAAAACTAAGGCTAAATAATTTTTTTGTAAACACCTTTTTTTATTTATAAATTTACATTAACATCAGATTTCATAAAATAAAAGTATGACTTCTTGAATGTCTTCAACCAATCATAACCGCTTTGAATTCTACAAAGAAAAATCCAAAAAAAATGGTATCATAATTTTGATTAAACGATTTTTACCTTCCCAATCGACTGTTCCAGATCCGTCAGCATCAATTTCATCAATCATATTATCCAGGTCATCATCACTTAACTTATCGTCCAATTCTCTTAAGATTTCCCGCAAAACTTCAGTGGTGATAAATCCATTACCTTCGTATTACAACAAAAACAAGATCGTTAATCTCGATATTCACCAAACCGTGACTATTATTTGTACCATCTCTATCGTAAAGTCTAAATGCTCCTTTCAGTTCCAATTGAATTGCCTCAGTATCCTCATCCTCTTCACCGAGAAAACGTGCCGCTAAATTTGCAAACTCTTCGAAATTAACTTCGCCGTTTCCGTCTTCATCAATTTCAGAGATAACACTCTACAAAAAAAAGTGTGGTCAATATTTCTTTTTTGATTATTTCGTATAATCGTTTTACATCAAGTTCATCACCCGCTAATTGAGTTCCTAACATGTCTAAAATCGTTCCAATCATTTCAATTCCAATATAGCCTTTTCTATCCACATCAAATGCATCAAAAGTTTGATGAAGCACTAAAAAAATGAGACTATTAATTTAAGAAATATATAGATTTTATACACTTACTTGTGAGCTGTTCTTTATCCAGCTCATTCTAAAAATTGGAACAATTTCAAATGTGTTTACGATGTTAAAATATTGTAGTATTAAGTAGAAAAAATTAAAATAATTAGATTTTAATACTTACAAGCTTCACCATTTTTGGTGATGATAAAAGAGTCTCGGAGTACTTGTGTAAGAATACTTCACTGCACTTTGCACACTGGATAAACAAGGCTACTGGATATATAACAAGAATTGGCACAAGGAGGGGATGGTCTAGAATCTGCATTGAAAGATTTAAACAGTTTTTTCTTACGGATGTTTAATTTTGGTTTATTATCGGCAAGAGTTTATTTTAAGCGCTAGTTAAGCTACGTGCACCGAAGAAGAAAAAGTAGCAGCATGCGGACCGTATTTCAGTCGTCTCCTCCGGTCATCACTTCCATAAATTCTATAAAATTTTAGAAAACTTGTTTAAACTAAATTTTACCAGTTTCCTTTTATGCATTGATTCATTTAATCCGGTCGTTATAATTTTAACTTACCGTCAAAATCGACTGTTCCTGATCCATCCGAATCTATTTCTTGAATCATCATATCGAGTTCTTCAGCGGTTATTTTATCATCGAGTTCTTTTAAGATTTCGCGAAGAACGTCTGTTGTAATATAACCATTTCCTGTTTTTTAAAACATTATTAACAAAATAATTTGGAATTTAAACTTATTCAAATTACCTTCTTTATCGTATAATCGGAAAGCTTCTTTTAATTCTTCTTGCATTGCTTCCGCATCTTCTTCAACCATAAATCTCGAAGCCAAAGTTATAAATTCTTCAAATTCTAATTCACCAGATCCATCAGCGTCTACTTCAGCTATAATTTCAGCTAAGATCTTTTCAGTTGTTTGAATACCCAACATTCCCAAAATTGTTGCTATCATATCTGTGCCAATACTTCCTTTCTTTTCAACGTCAAATGTATCAAAAGCTTTCTTCAACACTAAATTTATATCATAAGTAAAGTAATAAGTTAATAAAATTTCTTATTTATTTTACAATACAAATAATATACTTTGCGGGACATGTTTATTATCTGCTAAATTCCAGGTTTTTATTGCATCCTAGATTTGTTAAGACATTAAAGAGTGACAGAATATATAAACATACTTAAGTTGAAGTTGCAATAAAAACATGTCTATTTCAAAACGCAAAAGCGTAGCAAACTATTTCAAAGTAAGCGAAATAGTGATCATTATATGGCTCCCATTAAAACTGTTACTTAGGTCAGGCGCTCCAGACTTTGCTTCTCACTGTATATTACTATATTGTGTATTCTCTGATTGTTTCACTATAAAGCATAACGATTGTCATGTTAATGGTTCACAAAGTAAGTTAAAGCAAAAAGTTTATACCATTACAATTAAAGTGTGCATCAAAAGATGTGCAACAAAAAATTATTATTTATTCATTGCCTTAAAAGGCATCGTGATGCTAACGTACTTATACAACGACGCAGTTAGACTCAAACATGTGTTAGATGGCGAGAAAGTAACAGAGATATCATGCTACTGAAACCGGATAAGCCACCTAATGATACAAAATCATATAGGTCAATATCATTGCTTACTATCATGTCCAAGGTATTCGAAAAGTTTTTAGAAGAATGAATGTTAGAAGATCCCGAACTTCCTGGATGGATTTTGGCGATTCCTGTCATTGAAGATCAAATCGAAAAAACTCTAGAAAACAAGCAATTCTGCTCTGCTAGTTTCCTTGATTTATCTCTGGCTTTTGATAAGATATGTTACCAATGATTACTACAGAAGCTAAATAAATGCTGCCAGCTCCATATGAACAACTTCTGGAATCCTACCTAACTAGACTATTTATTAGAGTGCGACAGGAAGCGGAATATTCAAATTGGAAAGACATCAGTGCAGGTGTTCTACAGAGTTGCGTTTAGGGACTATTCTTGTACCTGCTTTAAATATGTGACTTCCTCAATCACGACGACATACCCATAATAACATTCGTTGATGAAGGATTTAGAATACAAGTACAAGCAACTACTTAGAAATGCCTCCAATGCACATAGATGGTGTTTCAGTACCATATGCACCCATCGGAAAATATCTAAGCATGACTTTGGACACAAGGCTGAAATATAAATTCACTCAACATAAATTAATTGTGTACAAGTAACCTTAAACCAATCTATGTAAATGATATCCAACTGTGGGGATGTGCAAGCGATAGCAACATCAAGACTAGGTCTGGCCTAGTCTACAAAATGGCAAAATAAGGTGCTCCAGATGATCGTAGATGCTCCGCATCATACATAAAGACTTAAAAGTTGCTCCCGTCGAAGAGGAAATTAAACGAATCGGTGGGAAACATGAAGACCGCCTTCACTGACTCTCCAAGACGCATATTCAACAGCTACTTGACATCATCAATATTTACTGTCGACTTACGAGAAGAAAACCCATAAAATTGGTGTACTCACTACACCAATTGAACCGTGGGCTGATAGTAGATAAATCATTGTAATTGTGAACTAACATACAAATTATGAGATATAAACTGATGGTCTTGTTAGTGACCAATTTTAATATACTGCACCATATTGGTGTTACAAAAAAATAAATATACATATTTTAGATTACAGTGCATGCTTATGAAGATATGTAGCATTTTGTCTTATTAATCCAAAGTCGCTGGCGGTCAAGGTACTGCAATTGAGACCAAACTGACCAATACATAATTCAAAGCTTGAGTCGCAGGGATCCTCGTCTAAACTTAGGTCGAAGAATTTATGTGAGTGGATGTGGTATCAATTGCAGCGACATCGACTTATTCAGACAAAATCTTACATTCACTGTTCTGAATACAACCAAGGTCGCTAACAGCCAAGAAGCTGCAGTATATTTTAACTAGCTTTGATTTTTACTAAATCGAGATGATACTAATTAGAACGTCTTGGCCAAAACGTTTCCAGTAAGCACATGCCAGTAAGCGTATGACTTCGTTGAATAAAGCCAAGGTTGAACCAAACCTTATTAACACATACTGTACCACGGACGCAAACAACTTTGGGTAAAAATAGGGCTTTGTCTAATTATTGTAGAAAACCTTATATTTTGCTTGATTACTGCAAATAATACCGAATGATCCTAAAAGTAATTAATACACATTACAGCACCTCAGTCGCAAGTCAGTTTAATCAGGAGAAGTAATTAATTTTTCATTAATTGTTTAGCCGAGGTCTTTTGAGATCAAAACGTTGCATTGTGTATTGTCCAAGATAGCGCCTCGACCTGAGAAAGTCTTTGCAGTATGTGTTAACCAATTTTAACTGCAATCAACTTAAACTTAAGATTGTAGCAAAATCTTAGAATCTGTGTTCTGAGTTTTGCCATGCTCGCTAACGGACTAGGTTTTACCCATATTTGGTTATTGTGGAAATACAAGATTTATTATGAAGTCGCTTGCAACCAAGGTTCTACAATTAATATAATGTTATCTCAGAATTATTCAATGATCCGCTACAATTGCACTAAATGTTAATGTTCCACTTTCACACTGCTTATAATATGCGGTGTATAAAATCGGATAATTTTCGAACATCTTTTAATAATAATAGTTAATAATTTATGGTCTCCATGTTGATAAGAATCATAGTTGGGTTATATTCGCTTGTGGATTACGTTTTGTTGATTTATTACAAATAATTTTCAACCACATTTTCTCCTACCATTTTCAGTTTTCGAGTTATAATATTATTTTTTATCAAAAACTGTTATTTTATTCATTTGATGATGTTATGGTAGATAACAAAAGATGCGAAATGATTAAATGACAATCGTTTGTAGATTATGCTTTTATGATTTCTTCTGAACAATTCTTATCAATATTAATCTCATCACTAGGTTATAATTTTTGCATTAAGAGTACTTTGTTGTTAAATTGGTCAAAATTGAAATATAGAATTTTAAATGCTCTAGGTTGGTAAAAATCATACTTGGATTATAATCACTTCCGGATTACATTTTGTTGGTCTGTTACACATATATTTCATTAAAAACATTTTCTCCTGGCATTTTTAGTTTACAAGTTTGAATACATTTTTTGATCCTAAAACGCAGTTTAGTATTCGATTTTACACTTTATAACTAATTAAGTAGAGTGTAGAATTTGTATCTTTTTTAGGTGTTGGACACTGCAGATAATAATTTAATAATTAATTAAAGTATCCTCTTCTTAATACAACAAGACGTTTTGAAAAATCACTTTCAGTTCTTGAGAAATAAATTTTTGAAATGATCAACAATTTTTACGAATTTTGCAATTTTCCCCGATTAAGTTTTAAAAATTCGTATAAAATCCATTTCTTGGAATATGAGTATGAAAATGTCACAAAGTGTTAATAAGAGTGTCCTCTTTCTAATGAACCAACACGTTTTAAAAAATAACTTTTAGTTTTTGAGAAAACAATATTTGAAGTTTTGATAAAATTTTCGATGTTGCAATTTTCATCGATAATTTTCAAAATTCGCAATAAAATTATTTTCTTGAAGGATCCTTGTGGAAATATCTCCAATTATTAATTAAAGTATCCTCTTTTTAGAGTTGCTTCGTTAGTTAATGTATCTTGGATCCAAATAAGTTGACATATTTTATCAGCTTTCTTATTAATTTCATTTTTATTCAAATACCATAATGGCCGGATAGATATGCCGGATAACCGGATTTCTGGCCGAAGAGGATTTCTCCGATCTTTGTCATAATCAGTCAGAGAGGGTGCCTTTACATATGGTATCAGAATTTGCAAAATGATATGTTAGTTAAGTATTAAAGTAAATGCCTAACTCACACTGTCAATCGATAATATAATATATATTTTTTGTACTTACATTCAATTTGTTCCTTGCCTAATTCATCGGACTGTTTACAAAAAGAAAATAAAGCAAATATTGAATTAATAACATATTTTTAAAGCAAAAGAGAATCATTACCATTTTGAAACTTTTTAAATGATCTAAATTTTTAGGAACTATTCACCAAACTAACACTAAGAAATAGTGTAGATTTTTATAGGTGAACATTGTGGAAATAGTGGGGTTGGCTCGTGTTTGACTGTTTTTTCGCTTTAATTACTTTATTAATTATGTTTGAAAATTAGTTAGCAGGTTAGAATTAAAAATAAATTTTGAAAGTAATTTCTGGTAATACACATCAAATTTGAATCAAATAAAACATTTAGACATATTCTTTAAATTGTTTATTTTACTACTATACAATTTTTTAGAAAAAAAGTTGTATATTAATTTCGAATGAACCACATTAAATTGATTACGGCCCTGTAAAAAAATTACAATACCAGTAATTTACAACATGTGCATCTGTCGAGTCCGTGTAAAGCCCCGCAGTATTTTCAGTCACGTGATATTTCAGCGATTTTATACTCGCTTTCGTTTTGGCTGCTGGCACACAATCGTACGGCCAACAAACGGGGTACCAATAGAGTCGAAGTGGTTCGCTTGATTGCTGTTTGCCCCGAAGTATTTAAAATTCTAACCCACTGTAAAATTGTTAAGCGATTAAAACCGCCTCGTCGTCGCGACGCAAACGAAAAAAGAGAAACAAAATCAGAACTGTATCCTCAATCGTAATTGGCAATGGTTAATTAGTGCTTCATATTTCGAGGCTATACAATGGTTCGCTTTATTGCGTTCATTTATAAATTTCAGTCTATCTTTTCGTTTATTTCAAGCGACATTATTGGATCCTCCCTGCCAAGAAAATCTACAGACGATTTCTTGTTATTTCAAGCGTTTCAGTAGGGATATGGATAAGAGAGGAACATCTTTTATAAAGACCGTCGTAAAAAAAATATTTTTATTGCAATTATAATCTCTACAAATTGGAAAAGTAGTTATCTACGTCCATATGTCGCTTACAACAAGACCAATAAATACATTACCACCGATATAGGTTTTATTAACTTTTTAACAAATACATGCTTAACGCTTTGCTTAATTTGATAATTTATTATAAAAATATATTGGAACATCACATATCATCTAATCGCAAACGCTGTTTAGATAAAGAAATATTTGAATTTTTAATATAGTAAAACCTCGATGTAACGGACCTCAACTTGCTTAAGTTGCTTTATTCTATGTTTTCTTAGATATTACTCAGTGCTAGATTGCTGTACATTTTTATTAAACTAAAAGTAGAACTAATTGTCTAACTAACAGTCTAGTGTTAGTTCTAATTTTAGTTCAATGAAAAATATACAACAATTTAACGCAGAATACTAGATCTAGAACTAGAAACGTTCGGGTTTAGCCGTCTTAAGAGACATACGGCTAAACCCGAATGTTTCTAGTTCTAGATCAAGGTCTAGGTTCTAAGTCTAGTGTTAGTTTTACTTTTAGTTCAATAAAAATATACAGCAATCTAGCACTGAATAACAATTAAAACTAACACTAGCATTAGAGTTAACACTACACCTAGAATTGGAAAAATTCGGGTTTAGACGCAGGGCTCTCTCGGTATTCGGACATATTACAGAAAAACTTTTAAAACAAAAGTTGTAGTAAATTTTATTCTACACAACATTGTCCTCTTTCATGCTTGCTCGCAGATGCATAGATATCGAGATAACTACGAAAATATAAAAAGTAGATAAATTTAGTAGTTATTGGTAGAACCAAAGGTAGAACTAGGGATTTGGATATATTACAGAAAAACTTTTGGAACAATAGTTGTAATAAATTTTATTTAAAACAATATTGCTCTCTTTTAGATTTGCTCTCAGATGCTTAACCAACCAGAAAAATACGAAACCATGAAAATTTAATAAATTTACAAGTTATGAATGACAGAACTCGGGAACTGGACATGTTACAGAAAAACTTTTCAAACAAAAGCTGTAGTAAATTTTATTCTATACAATATTGTTCTGTTTCACTTTTGCTGCCAGAGCCATAGATGTCGAGATAAATACGAAAATATAAAAAGTAGATAAATTTACTAGTTATTGGTAGAACCAAAGGTAGAACTAGGGATTTGGACATATTACAGAAAAACTTTTGGAACAATAGTTGTAATAAATTTTATTTAAAACAATATTGCTCTCTTTTAGATTTGCTCTCAGATGCTTAACCAACCAGAAAAATACGAAACCATGAAAATTTAATAAATTTACAAGTTATGAATGACAGAACTCGGGAACTGGACATGTTACAGAAAAACTTTTCAAACAAAAGCTGTAGTAAATTTTATTCTATACAATATTGTTCTGTTTCACTTTTGCTGCCAGAGCCATAGATGTCGAGATAAATACGAAAATATAAAAAGTAGATAAATTTACTAGTTATTGGTAGAACCAAAGGTAGAACTAGGGATTTGGACATATTACAGAAAAACTTTTGGAACAATAGTTGTAATAAATTTTATTTAAAACAATATTGCTCTCTTTTAGATTTGCTCTCAGATGCTTAACCAACCAGAAAAATACGAAACCATGAAAATTTAATAAATTTACAAGTTATGAATGACAGAACTCGGGAACTGGACATGTTACAGAAAAACTTTTCAAACAAAAGCTGTAGTAAATTTTATTCTATACAATATTGTTCTGTTTCACTTTTGCTGCCAGAGCCATAGATGTCGAGATAAATACGAAAATATAAAAAGTAGATAAATTTACTAGTTATTGGTAGAACCAAAGGTAGAACTAGGGATTTGGACATATTACAGAAAAACTTTTGGAACGAAAGTTGTAGTAAATTTTATTTAAAACAATATTGCTCTCTTTTAGATTTGCTCTCAGATGCCTAAAAATCGATAAAAGTACGAAAACATGAAAATGAATTAACAAGTTCTGAATGGCAAAACTTGGGAACTGGACATGTTACAGAAAAACTTTTCAAACAAATCTGTAGTAAATGTTATTCTATACAATATTATTCTGTTTCACTTTTGCTGCCAGAGCCATAGATGTCGAGATAAATACGAAAATATAAAAAGTAGATAAATTTACTAGTTATTGGTAGAACCAAAGGTAGAACTAGGGATTTGGACATATTACAGAAAAACTTTTGGAACAATAGTTGTAATAAATTTTATTTAAAACAATATTGCTCTCTTTTAGATTTGCTCTCAGATGCTTAACCAACCAGAAAAATACGAAACCATGAAAATTTAATAAATTTACAAGTTATGAATGACAGAACTCGGGAACTGGACATGTTACAGAAAAACTTTTCAAACAAAAGCTGTAGTAAATTTTATTCTATACAATATTGTTCTGTTTCACTTTTGCTGCCAGAGCCATAGACGTCGAGATAAATACGAAAATATAAAAAGTAGATAAATTTACTAGTTATTGGTAGAACCAAAGGTAGAACTAGGGATTTGGACATATTACAGAAAAACTTTTGGAACAATAGTTGTAGTAAATTTTATTTAAAACAATATTGCTCTCTTTTAGATTTGCTCTCAGATGCCTAACCAACCAGAAAAATACAAAAACATGAAAATTTGATAAATTTACAAGTTATGAATGACAGAACTCGGGAACTGGACATGTTACAGAAAAACTTTTCAAACAAAAGCTGTAGTAAATTTTGTTCTAAACAATATTGTTCTGTTTCACTTTTGCTGCCAGAGCCATAGACGTCGAGATAAATACGAAAATAAAAAAAGTAGATAAATTTACTAGATATTGGTAGAACCAAAGGTAGAACTAGGGATTTGGACATATTACAGAAAAACTTTTGGAACGAAAGTTGTAGTAAATTTTATTTAAAACAATATTGCTCTCTTTTAGATTTGCTCTCAGATGCCTAAATATCGAGAAAAGTACGAAAACGTGAAAATTTGATGAATTTACAAGTTCTGAATGGCAGAACTCGGGAACTGGACATGTTACAGAAAAACTTTTCAAACAAAAGCTGTAGTAAATTTTATCTACGATGTCGAGGTAAATACGAAAATATAAAAAGTAAATAAATTTAATAGTTACTAATGATAGAACTCGGTATTAAGACATACTTCAAAAGGCTTTTAGAACAAAAGTTATCACATTTCCTCTCAATCTTTTCGTCTAGACGTACGGCTTAACCCGAATATTTCTAGTTCTATGTCTAGTGTTAGCTCTAGTTTTAGGTGTTATTCAGCGCTTGTGTGCATTAAAATTATTCATTACAACAATTTACGAGGTTTTACTGTATTTCCAACTTATGCTGTACTATAAAGATTTATACCTGGAAGAAATTTAGTTTGTTTTTGATTTGGAGGTGGTAAAGGTGGCGGAATAGGTTCATATAAATTATTTTCCTCAGTAACTTTAACATTTGCAACATTATCCCTCCATTTACTTATATTATCCTGCACCAACGAATTGGATGGTTTTATATAAGAAACTTCACCATTATAAACACTTTCCTCGCGAATATCTCCCAAAGGATTTCGATTATTTCTATTTGTGATTTTCGAATAATGTGTAGTTGTAATATAACTCGGTTGAGCGCTACCATACGAAACAAACGAAGGTGCTGTATACGTCGGTCTTTCATATTCCGCTAAACCCCCTTGTGGTTTTGGTTTTTCTTTCCCAATTATGATCACGCGATTATTTCCTTTAATTAAGTTCGGATAAAATCGTACACACCAGTACATCAAACACGTCGAAATTAAAATACAAACTAACACAATCCCAATTGAAACTCCGATTATTGTAATTTTCGATTTGTTTTTAATCCAAGCTCGTTCTGAATATTCAACTCGAACTTTAAAGCCAAAACAGTTAAAGGGAGAAACGGTCGTTTTTGTTTTATTTAAAACACAAATCGTATATGTTTTATTTTGTCCCATTTTATCTAAACTTATCGTGTTTTCTAAGCTTGAAATACACTCCGCTTCGTTTGGATTGTAAGTATTAAACCATAATAAGCTAAAATCGTTTAAATCGGATGTTGTGGTAATCTCAATGACGATTAAAAGAGGAGAATTTGTCGTTTCATAAAAAGTAAAATTAAAAACGTGCTCGTATTCGACGGTTATTGATTGAAAATCG